GGTAAGCTGAAAGTTAACAAACAATAATTTCTAGGCATTTCAATCTGACGCTTACCTTCTCCAAATTTGAGGAACTCAAAGACCTGATCTGGACTGCTCACAATCTCTTCGCGTAATCCTGCCACAAAAATCCCCCTCTGAAGCTCTTTTCAGTAAAGTCCAAAACACAAACAGGATCAATCAAAATACATACGACGGAGTTTTCATGTATCCGAAGCTTCCGATTTTCAGGAGCAAGCAAGTCGTTGATTTCTTCCTTGTATATTTCCATGTATGAAACCCGAATCAAGAACTCCCTGTCTAGTATCTGCAAAGAAGCAAATAAGCTCCACAGAGAACAGATTTAATTACACAAACACTCTGAATGGTGCTGAAAACGTCGCATATAGCACGATGGATAAGCCCAGGATCCCGCTCAGACCCACGCATTGTATAGGTTTTGCCACTGCTGGTTTGGCCATAAGCAAAAATTGTTCCTGGAGCAACAAAAATAAGGAAAAGGGAAAAAAAAAACAATGAGAGCCAAACAACTCTGAAAAACGAAAGAGACCATTGAATCCTTGAAGCCCAGATAGAACGAGATCCTTGGCATGGATCTCATACACGCTTGCATTGGTCGCATCCTTGGTAAATATTTGATCTATCGAAACGGAGAACACGATCAATCACAATCAATGCCCTACTTACCAAACATGTAGGATTGACCCAGCACAGGTGCGCCGAGCGCATTGTACAGTGCGATCGTTCTAGCCCCAAGCTTCCATTGGCTGCCTCTCACAAGCTCCTGCCTGATCGGCGGCCTCACCCGGATCGCGACCGAAATCTTCTCGCCCTGCTGCATTGCCGCCCTGGATCAGTCGAAACCCCCAGAGCACGCGAAACCGCGATCGCGAGCTCTTCGTCTAGCTATAATGAAGAACCCTAGGCCCAGAGATATTGTGGCAACGTACACTAGGTTTCCCGCGCGTTTTTTGAATTGCAGAGAACAGAAAAGATTCATTGTGCCGCCTGACGAGCTTCTAATATAAGGTGGATTCCTTCGACCAGCAATGCGACAATCCGAAAAGTTTCACTTCGAGGTAAAAGGTGATTCTCGTAATGGTCAAAGATAAATTCTTCTTCAAAGAAGTGTAGTCAAGAAGACTTTGTCAACAATTTAACACGTAGAACAAAAGTCCACTTGGCACAGTAACTCTGGATGGATTGATCGATTCGATTGATTGATTTCATCGGCATGGAATCGGCCTCCCAGAGAGATCCCCAAGCAGATGACCAAGTTGTTGAAGGAATGGATCAGCAGCAGGAATCCGATGACCGCGGCGAAATGGAGATGATGCCCACCAAGGCGCTGGCCAAGACGATGATCACGCCCTTCACATTCGTGGCCTCCACTTGCTTCCAGACGGGGATTTCACTCATCAAGCCCGACGCGACGCGGGAGGAGAGAGGGCGATGCTTCCACTTGTTCCTGGCCGGGATCATCTCCACAGTCGGCACATTTTGGTCAGTTTTTCTCCTCATCCAGCGCAAGCGGAAGCCCAGCGAGGATCAGCGCCGGATCAACGAGTGCCTCTTCTTCCTCTTCTTCGCCGGGATCACGACCCTGATCTGGCCTCTCATTTACAGCATTCTTACTGTCCTTTTTCACTGCCCACACGGCACCGCCAACGTGATCGTTAGCGTCTGCACCGGAATCACGACGCTATACCTCGCTTCGATCATCCGCTGGATCGCCAAGCTCGAAAAATTCCTCCGGCGGATCAAGCTCCCGTGTAGCCTCTTTGCAATCATTGTCACGATCATCTTCACGGTCAACGGCCTGGGATACATGCTCTACACATAGAGAAAAGCTGTTGCTTCACCATTAGTATAAGCCGACCTAGCTCAGCTG